CCTTGTCAGTGATGCAGGACGGAGGGGCTGACAAGGAAAGCTGTCTAGTCGTTCGGATGGGACGAAAAACCGAGGTCCCGTGTACACATTGGCGTGCACGTAAAAGATCCCTTGGCAGTTGGAATTCGATATAAGAGTAGGCCGTAGTGCCGCTGTCCGGGCAAAATTTCCCTCATAGCACACTGTATGGCGTATGCCCGTCTTCATTAGCCCAGGTTAGGAGCAGAAAAGTAGGACGTTAAACTCCATTTCATTTCATTTCATTTAGTCTTAAATTTCCTTTCTGGAATTTCTCGTAAATCAGTAGATCAGCGATCGACATTTGTTTGCCATTTTGTTTTGGCCATTTGTAGCTAAAAACATCATTTTAAGCCTGAAAACTAAAACTGAAAGCCTTAAAAAATTCCTTCTTGTCGTCTACTGTTTCACACCAGTGTTGATATAAATGATTTGAACTGAGATTTTTTGTAACTCCTAGGGTTAGTGTTAGAGTTACCTTTAACAGGATAATAACAAAGCTCCTAGCCTGATTATTTTTTCAGGTAATTTGTTTTCTTAAATCGGGAAATTGATATTGAAAATATGGACAAACTTAGAGGCCCAGGTATAAGTTAGTGTTTGGGTAACGCAGATACGACACCAGTGTTCATGTTGTATACATAATATATAATAATATGTTGGGTTGAAGCAAGAATGTCGTAAGTGACAAAATTTGCGATTTCAATATATTATTGATAGGTGATGACCAACTTTTCAGATGAGCATGGTTTTGCCCGTTATGTTGTCACGGAAACCGGAAATCTTGTGTGCAAAATTGTGGTAAGTGAAAAGTTGACCAAATTCTTGGAGCAAAAATGTAGTGATATTTTTCATTACCAGATTGTTATAAGCTGAATTTGATTTCATGATAAAACATCAATGTCACATAGGGTATGAGGTCATCAACAGTATGATGTCATAATCATTATAATAATTATATTAATTCTTACTATTTAAATGTATTTGGTCGAGTTTATTTATCTTTTATTTACTGGGTCAATGTGAGTTTTTGGTTACTTCCTGCATTTACGACAATTTTGCACCAAACTTCTAGGCCGAAATGTGTTGGAGCAAAAATGTCGTAAATGAATTTTGGCTATGAGCCAAAAATTTATACAAGGCCCTGACAACACTCAATCACTCGAAATGTATTATAATAAATCAGAGATATGAATCTCATCTATACTAATATTTATGACTGTCGTTTGTCTGTCTGTCTGTTCGGGGTTGGCGGCTACACTAGGTCTGCCCCGAGTCTGAAATTTGGGGTATAGGGGTAGCTCGGACCGGGGAGTAACATAGGCCAGGTGGCGTTAGTCTACCACTTCCGGTTTCGGAGTTATGACCCCCGAGCGAAGCTGGGTATCTTGCTAGTTAGTAAATAAATAATGACAAGGAATCGTCATTTTTATTTAAATCTTTAAATGCAATTTTCTCCATTTTTTTCAAAATGTCACTTACGACATTCTTGCTCCAAGCCAACGATTATTTAACACACCAAAGACATTAACCCATTGACTTAAAATACAGCAGGAGTCACAGGTTGAGTTAGCACGGCTTTACACCAGTGCTACACTGATCTAACTGGTGTTAAACACTACACCACCTTAACCCAGGACTTGAACTGACCCAATGGTTTAAATTGTAGATTAATATTATTATGGTTGAAGGCTGGCATGCTTAGAGTTACTTCACTCACTACTCGTGTCGTCCAGGTTTGACTCCCGATATCGGAATAATTTGTTTTTCCTCTCCGTCACAGGGTAGTCAAGTAAAAGATGCCTCCCAAGCGGGCAATTAAACCCTGGTCTCCTGAGGAATCCTTGCAGATTGAGTCCCATTCTTGCGTGATTGTATCCCATAAAACCTGATAATGTGTTTACCGGTGGCTCAGTGCCATATAAAAATATTAATATACATGGTGGCTAAAATAGTAATTTGAGAGAGAGAGAGAGAGAGAGAGAGAGAGAGAGAGAGAGAAATGGGGTTTAACGTCCACTCGACACAAACTAGGTCATTTGGGGACTAACATATGGTTTAATTTTATTTACATAATTCGCTTGCGCGTAGGGGTCTTTAGCAGTGGGAGGAAACCGGAAGACAAGGAGAAAATCCATGAGGTTGGAAAGGCGACCCTACTCCTTGCCACGTACAACCGGGGATTTCGAAACCATGCCAGTCGACTCAATGACAGACTTTATGATACAGCACGCGCACGCTAACCATTCAGCCATTCACCCCCCACCCCCCAGTAATTTGAGGTTTGTGTTAATTTATATTCAATTTTACGGCTGACAATAAAAAGTGTTACATAATCTACCTTTGAAAGTCTAATTTAATATAAATTGCTGCATAAATGAAATAAAAATTTTTCCACATATATCTACCAATCCAATAAAGTCTAATTTAATATACATGTAATATGTCCCCTATAAAGTCTAATTTAATATAAATGCAATTTGTTAAATATATATATATGTCCCCTATAAAGTCTAATTCAATATAAATGTAAATGCAGTTTGTTCCACACATATATATATATATATATATATATATATATATATATATATATATATATATATATGTCCCCTATAAAGTCTAATTTAATATAAATGCAATTTGTTGCATATATATATATCTCCCCTATAAATTATAATTTAATAAATACAAAACTAATTGTTCATCTACCTTAAAAATTCTAATTTAATACAATTATATTTTATACTTAATATACTTATACTTATAAAGTATACTTAAAAGGTGTAATTTAATTCAATACAAATATACTTATACTTATAAAGTATACTTAAAAGGTGTAATTTAATTCAATACAAATACAATTTGTTCCATATTTATATCTATTCTGAAAAGTCTAATTTAAAGGGGCATTAGGTAAGATTAGATAAAGAAATGAAATGAAATGGGGTTTAACGTCCTAGTGAAGACGGACATGCGTCATACAGTGTGCTATGAGGGAAATTTTGCCCGGACAGCGGCGCTACTGCCTACTCTTATATCAAATTCCAATTCTCAAGGGATCTTTTACATGCACACCCATATGTACACAGGGTCTTGGTTTTTCATTCCATCCGAATGACTAGACAGCTGTCCTTGTCAGGCCCTCCGTCCTGCATCAATGACAAGGGGAAACCACGCCAGAAAATCTGGATGAACTTTCTCGGCCAATGCAGGGATCGAACACTCAACCTTCAGACTAGGGAGCCAGCATCTAACCCACTTAGCCACCGTTACCCCAGATTAGATAAAGAGATTCTGTCAAATTGCTTCACTCTGAACAAAGATATTAGCGATTCAATTTTAGTCTAGCCTCCAACATCATTACCAACTTTGGTGTGATAATAAACCAATCAATTATCCATTTTATGTTAAATTATCCATCACAAACTGTATTCAAATCCACTAAACATCACTGGCTAACAATGACATCGAGAGTTGATTATGGTCTGGATCGGTTAATTAATGTCTAATTAATAATTTAGATAAGATTTCAGGCCTGAAGAAAGACCCGGAATAGGCAGATTTAGCTCTTGCATAATGCATGTTTAATATTAATACAAATTGTTCCCTATATATGTAGTCTATAAAATCTAATTAATACAAATTGCTACATACATCTGTCAAATTTGATATAAACACAAATGGCTACATATGTGTTTTTACATGTTTTCGTAAAGTACTATTTTCTCTAAATGATTTACTACAAACATCACACTTATAAGGTTTTTCACTTGTATGTGTCTTAACATGAGTCTGCATACTTATTCAACAAGGACGTTACTCAAATATCTGTTTTATTTTTACACATGTGACGGCGTTAAGGACTATTCATTTCATTCGTGCAAACCAGTGAGGTGTTACAATAGTTACATAGAAGATGTTAATACAACCGCCTTATACGCTAGCTTCTAACTATCACGATTCGCGCTAGGAAAACGCGTTTGCGGCTGTCAAATTGTCTTCTTTTTTTGCGGGGGGGGGGGGTACTATAAGGTAAGCTCCACTGTTACCCGATATTTTTTCGGGCATTTCAGGGTCTGCCCCCTATGCTGTAAAGATGATATAAACTGACCAGTGACTGTTTGAAAAAATCTGTTTTAACAACACCAAGCAGTTGAAAATTACTAATGGAGGACGGACAGACGAAGGACAAAAAAAGTAATGACATAAGCCTGACGGGCTTAAAATAAAGCTTTTGTAAAATAGACATGCAAATAAAATAGTTCAATTCGTTTATATCATGACCATCCGGCATCAAATGGTGAAGATACCATTTCAAAAAAAAAACCCAATAAGACTGGCACCAAAACCTTCAATGGCGAATCATGAAGAAAATGACCATTTTTTGGAAACGGAATAAGTTAGAAGCTATTTTCTATATCAGTTTTGTGATCGTATACATATACCCCATTTGTTGAAAGTAAAGATCGTGGCTCATTTGGAATTTCTACAAATTATTGGAGGGCTTAAAATACTGACTTTGTCATTTCGTACAAGCAAAATAACAGTAAGAGTACTTCATACAAACGTGGGGATTCCTCGGCAATTGCTCAACACGGGCTCTGTTCGTGAACATTAATGCTATAAGTTTATAAAAGTTACGAAATTATATCGAACAATAATGATGCTAAAAGTAGTTTAACACTTTGAAATCAAAATGGTTGGAAAACGAGACTGAAACTCAAAATGACTAAAACTTCCCTGTTTATTCTTATCTGTGGCTAACCTGATGTAAAGCATGTTCTAAAGCCAATCGCCACCAACAATAAGATTTTATTTTATTCACTAAACTAAACTAATTAGTAATTTCCAGTTCCCATTAAGAGGGAATCAAAAGTTGACGATTCGTGTTTTAGATTAAGATGTGTAAAATATAAGAGAGCATAATTTCCTGTTTGTACCTTTCCTTATAAAATTTGAAAGGAAAAACATTGTCTACTTACTTGGATATCAGGGTCTGCTATGCCATTTCAAGTTATATTAGTTTTTATGTACACCAACAAAGTTATGGCATATTCGTGTGATCACCGCGTTCTTTAATTTCTTCTGTAAATAAACGAGATGACTCAAGTGGGTCGCGTATGAATATTAGATAAAATAGGGCTTTTTGCCCTACAGATTGTGACGTAAAGCAGGTATCAAGTGGGTCGCGTATGAATATGAACTTTATTACAACGAAGGTGTGGCTATATGCGTAATTACGCAAGAATAAACAAAATAGGGCTTTTTGCCCTACGCGTTGCAAAGTAGGTACTTATATTGTGTTCTATATATAGCTAAACGGTATTTTTTTGCTGTACATTGATACAGGATGTGCATAATGCATGAATGTTGCAGAGCTGAAATGCCCGAAAATTTACGTTCAACTGCAACCGAATTCCCGATATTGGAGAAATGGGACATAAATGTAATGCCGATAAAAAATCTCGTTTCGAGGCTAGTAGCCCACAAGGACATATTTATAGGCGGACGCAAGCGTGTTTCCTGCTACTCCTGCCCGTGAAAACTTTATCTTGATAAGGTGCGGATTGGGACCGGGAACCGGCCCGGGCTCCCGTGTCGGAGCGGCCCCTTTTAACTGACCGTGAAGCCCGGGAAAATTTTGAAAAATGAACCCCAAATATGCGATTTTGTGGCATATCTGATTATAATCTCTTTCAAATAATATATCTCATGAATCGATTAATTTAGGCCAAAACCCCGACCTGCAAGTAATTTACAACCATTCGCTGGGACCTTGACGGGGTGGGAGTGAACATGCATAGGAGTACGGGACACAATTCATTTTTTAATTTTTGTAAATGGGAGTCCATTACCCGCAATTTGAGACAATTCCCGACATCCCAATTCTGTAATTTCATCTCTGAAAATAACGAGTTAATAAAAATGTCAAGGAATGTTTAACACCAGCCTCAGGAAATCGTCTCGCACTCATATTCAGCCAGCAGACCAGCTATCGTCAAATTTTGCTGAGGCCTTAAAATTGAATATTTTTTTGTAGTTACGAACCATCGGCAGACGTATCCCCACAAACATGCGGGCGATAGTGTCGGGTGAATCCGATGAAATTTTCGGATGAAATTCGGAATCCCCATTACAGGATTCCGAATTCCGGCCCACACCCAGCACAGAAAGTCTATTATATCCAGCCCATTCCAGACTCCAGTGATCGCGTGGCGGCCCGTTAAAGCCACCGGCCACATACAACATGATCATCATCGCTCCATGGCCGGTCCAATACCCCCCCCCCCCCCCCCATATAATGTTCAGCAGAAAAAGTTTTTTTTAGACGAATTGGACAAAATTATTTTTTTAATTTTTCGTCCGACCGGCCCTTGCCCGATCCGCCCCTGATCTTGATAGATAATAACGGACCCACTCTGTTCGAAAGACCCCAGGGGTGTAAGTTGCATTAGGCGGATTAGGTTTTTCTTGAATCTTTGTGTCAATTCTCTTTTAATGCAAAGAAGTTAAAAGATGCAGATGATCCCATCCCCTTATTCAAGATTTGGCAGAACAGGCGATATAAAAAAACGACGACAGAACAAACAGGTTTCAATAAACCAAAGGATAATGATGACTGTAAATCCGTTCTAAACGAGTGAGATCGTATCTTTAGACAACTGAAAGAAATCCTACGTCAAGCAAAATGTCTTTGTGGCAAGAAAATGTCTCAGGAATTCCCGTACCACACCCAAGTTTGTATCGGACAGTGTTCGTAGGATAACGGGTAAAACTAGCGTATTCTTAACCATGCATAATTAGACGTGTTGCTAGTTATATGTCTGATTATTTAAGAATTAACTTAACCATATATAATTAGACGTGTTACTAGCAGGCCCGTTAACCAGGGGGGGGGGGGCAGGGGAGTGGGCGTGTTTCGCCCCCGCTGTGAAAAAATTGTCGACCATAAAAACAATAGATATACATTGTCCGTCAATTTTACAGCAGCCCCTGCGAACACTTCCCGCCCCCCTCGTTGCTCTGAGCTAGTTACGGCCCTGGTTACTAGTTATCCGCCTGGAATTAATTATTAACCACACATTAGATTTGTTACTAGTTATCCGCCTGATATTAATTATTGAGTCTTTCTTATGGAAAGGTATCGCTGCCAATATTAAAAGCTCTGCTAAAATGTCTTTTCCATTGATTATATGTAAAAAGAACAATGTACAAAGTCTTAATACCGATAATGAAAAAGTCAAAACACCGCGAAGGGCAAAGTTAAATGTACACTGAAAAAACCCTTGTGTTGGATCTCAACACAAGAACTTGTGTTAAAAATATTTAACACATGTTTGTGTTGTATTGCATTGCAATGACACAAGTTTGTGTTCTTTTCAATGTCTTAACACAAACTTGTGTACATTTATAAAATCTTATGTGGTTTTTTTCCCATATAATTAATTACGTCGACATTAAAGATAACATTTATTATGTTCCTTTATCACATTATGTTTTTTATTTATTGAGAAAAACTGAATGGGATTGGGGATCTGGATTAGGGATCTTGCCTAGCCTATATGTAAAACCACTCGTCCTGAATTTGAATGTCGAGTAATTCACTTGATTTATTTTTTAATATTTCTTATTATCTAAAAGGATATATTAATTATTACAAACATTAAGTAGAAATCGCAATGTATGTATCGTGCGATGCATTTAATATCTCTTTTAAAACAACGTATTTTATAACAGTATACTGATATAAGAGATCAAAGTTTTAGTCAATTATTATCTAAATATAAACTATTTATTTAATTAGATATAATAAAAGATTATTCTGATTCTACTCTTTGTTTATTTTCACATCTTGTCTCAGACAATATACAGAGACAGGTTATTACAATGTCTGCATTTGGAAGTGTCTGATTGATATCGCCCCAATAAACTTGACACATCAAAGACAATAACAATTGTGTTATATCTACGTTTTAAAAAAATGTTTGAATGGGCGTGGAAATAGTCGAGTTAATCTTTTTATTTAATTTAATTGGTTCATTAATCGAAATTGGAAATTTATTCTTACCTGTATATGACCAATTAAAATGAATTACTCTTAAAACAAAGAAAGAAATATTTATTGAAGTAATTTTGCGGTATTAAACCCTGTGGTACTGCAAATGTTAACTGTATTATTAAGCATTAGTATCGAAAAAAGTGATATTGTTGTGAAAAAAGTTTGTTCAGAAAATAAGAATATCAGGTTTGTGATTTTGGTATTTTCTAATACAATGTATTTATAACGCAAATTTTTCGTTTCGGTTAAAACAAAATATACGTCCATTTTAACTGGCCGAAGGATGTGTGACTAATAGAAATATGACGGGCGGACAAACTGACCAAACAGTATATTTCGAGGTATTTGAGGTAAGCTAATTTAATATTATATCATAACTGCATGTGCATAATTGTGTTCTGTTTGATTAAATATTCAAAAAATCATTCTTAGGATACAACCTCGACACCAGTCCGCCCTGAATTGCAATGTTTGTTTTGTGTTCTGGGCGCCATTTTGAATATAATACAATCCAGCGATAGTGTAGTCTAATTCCTTTAAAAGGGAATCCGAATTTGTTAATTTTCTGCAATATCACTTCGGTGGAAGCGGACGTTAAATAAAGCTATTTCACGTACAAAGACCTACAATAAAATCCAGGTGAATTGGGAAAAATATTCATGTATTTTCTTGATGAAGAGTAGCTATTTCAATTTGTAAATGCCCAGTCATCTTAGACAAATAATAATTCCAACTTCAAATCAGTTGTATTTATTCAAATCATACCATGAAGAATTGTATTTTTCCACTTGCATAATAATAAAAACTTGACTTTTATTATTTTATTTCTTCAGGCCAAGAGCATGGAAAATTGGTAATTGCCTTGTATCACTGCTAACTATAAATCACAGGGAGCCTTGGGCAGAAATGATAATATGGTTCTCAGATATGTTACTGTGCACAGACTGAACAGAAAATATTAATACACTTGCTATTACAGTACTGGCCAAATTAATAGCAATTTTTTCTAAAAACGTTGCAGAAGTAACTCACTAAAATTGAAGTATGAATAAAATCATACACCGTGAATATATTGAACTGAATATTCTTACACATAACCATAGGCGTACGGGGAAATTTTTGACTGGGGGGCGGTGGTGGTTGGTGCCCCAAAAATGTAGTTAGGTTCTTAGTATGTTACATAATAATAATAAATTCGCTGTTAAATTGACACATTCAAGAACACAATATTTTTTTATACAACTTTTACAAAGTACAATTGTGTGCCCAAATTTTCCCAGCATTTGGTTCCCAGCTCGTACGCCTATGCACATAACCATATTGACATCTACTTCACATTGCATGGTTGGTCGACGCAACGCCGTGTATAGATAAAGTTGCGACAACTGTGAAGCCAGGAATTTCATATGACGTCATGCAAACTTATTATCTATTTATATGACCTATTATATTGTTGGATGTCATAGATTTCAGCGAATAAGTGTATATAGGACATAAAACATACATTTTTTAAACGAAAAGTATAGCTGAACATACTATTATTAGTATTATACAACAAGAAGCGCACATTATTGTTATATAGCCTTATTCTATAAGAAAAATCAAAATAAAAGATACACTAGATAAAAGTACTATTAAACCAGGGGCGGATCTAGGAATTTTGAAAAGGGGGGGGGGCTGCAAAATGAAGGCATTGACCGCGGAGACGGGGCTTGCCGCTGAGGGGGGGGGGGGGTCCCCATGAAAATTATCCGTCATTTCCTTGCATATGTAGCCATTCCAAGAGCTATTTCCCAGACTGGTGTGTTTGAGTCGATGGTTCGAGTCATTTGGGATCCCTACAACGGGTTGGGGACGGACATATTTGAGTCTGAGAAAAGGCACTTTCAGCCGTAAAAAAGGGCACTGTTGAAAATTGGGCGGGGGGGGCCCTCGCGCCCCCCATTGAATCCGCCTCTGATTAAACATATTTAACTTGCATTCGCTTTTAAAGGAGCTAAA